GTCCAAGTATAGGTTTCACATTAGCACGATTAAATGTTCTGGGATTCCCATTCTTCTCAAAGTTTATGATGTAGTTTTTATTAAATCTCTTAAGCTTTATTTACTTTGTGTTATTTAATGGAAAATCATTTACCGAAAATGATGGTGGGGAATAGGGGAGATATTGTAAGGATTTGTGGATACCAGGGCTTAGGGACACAGTTCTTTGAGGGACTGGTAGAAGAATGACCATGCAAATTGATTCCTGTGAAGCCTTAGGAAGTTAGTTGCATCTGGACACCGTGACCATGTGTGTGTGAGGTGACGGGTCACTTCACTTTTCTGGACCTCTGTGTCGGGTACAGTATAAGCAGAGCTAGAATGGAAGAGAATATGTCTGGTTATAGTTAAGAGAGAATGATGGCGTGCTGAGAAAAGTGAGGAAAGGGAGGCTGACTAGATTTATGGGATTAGAAGGAAGTTTTATGGAAAGAGAAGCTGCTGGTGGCTTTCTTCATTGATGAAAAAGTTCATAAAATGTTTTAACTCTGTTTTTCCATTTAGTTCCCTTGAGTTTCTTTGTATCTTTTTTGGACCTGACCTGTCTTGGTTTCCTAGTGTTACTGTAACACAAATTTTGGAGTGACATAATTCACTTATAACAATTAACATGAAAAAGCATTTGACTATGTGGATCACAACAAATTGTGGTTAAACTTGAGAAAGATGGCAATTTCAGAACATCTGATTGTGCTCATGCAAATCTATGCTTAGACCAGGAAGCAGTCATCAAAATAGAGCAAGGAAACAGTGCATGGTTCAAAATTAAGAAAGGGATGCATCAGGGATGTATTGTGTCTTACCTTTTAGTCTATATGCAGAATAGATCATTTGAGAGTCTGGATTTTATGAGCAGGAATGTGACATCAGGATTGGAGGAAGACTAATCATCAACATGCACTATGCTTGTTGAAACTCAAGAGGACCTGAAGGTTACTGAACTAGGTCAAGGATTGCAGCCTTCACTATGGATTGAAACTCACAATCAAGAAAACAAAGATTCTCAACACTTAGCCAATTGGCAGCACTGTGATAGATGGAGAAGATACAGAGGTTTTTAAAATTTCAGACTCAGTTCCACAATCAGCACCCCTGGACCAGTAGTCAGGAAATCCAAAGGTGAGTTGCATTGGGAAAATATTCTGTCAGGGACCTCTTCTGAGTACTGAAGAACAACAGTGTCAGTCTAGAGATTAAGATGCACCTGATCCAGGTCATAGTCTTTGCAATTACTAGCTACACATCAGAAAGCTGGACAGTGAGTAAGAGTGGCAGAAGAAGAATTGATGCCTCTGAGTTGTGGTGCTGGAGAAGACTGTTGAACACACCATGGACTGCCAAGAGAATGAACAGGTCTATCTTGGAGAGGGTGAAACCAAGTTTCTTCTTGGAGGCAAGGAATTCAAGCTCTCTCTCACATACTTTGAATACGTGTCTAGGAGAGATGACTCCTTGGAGAAGGAAATTATGCTTGGAAAGATGGAGAAAGACCCTGGCTGAGATGGATTGACTAGTAACTGAGATAATGGGGGTAGATGTGTTGGAGACAATGAGACTCCTTAGGATAAGGCATGTCTCAGAGCTGTTGTACATAGAGTTGCTGTGAGTTGCAGGTGACTTGATGGCACGTAACAACAACAGCAACAATTACAACAACAACAGGGTAGTCAAGTATCATTGGAGGTTAAAAATTTCATGTGGAGGCTCAACCCAGAGGATGGCTACCATTACTGATGTGCTCTCAAAACCAAGATAAATGCATATTTTATTTCTTCTTTTCTCTCTTTTTTTTTGTGTAGGACCTTTGTGTAAGTGGTGCTCAGATACTTCATTTTAAAAGCTCATTAGTAGAGGAGGCTGTCAATGAACTAATTAATATGTTGCTAGATGTAGAAGTTCCAAATATAGAAGAGAGTGAAAAAGTAATGACTGAAAATAGAATTGACTCAAAAGGTGAAAGTCCAGGTAAGAGACGTGATCATGGAAAAAACCTCACATTTCTAAAACATTTCCTGAAAACTAAAGTTCCATTTTCAGCATAGCAGTTAATTTCACGCTGCTACAAACACCCTCTCGATTTCATAATCATTTGTTCAAAGCCGAAATGAGAATTCTGCTCATACTATAATAAATGACATATCATTAGTTCCTTTTATTTTTAAAAAACTTTATTCATGCGTATTTTACACTGGTTCTTCCTGCTTGTCTTCCTTTTATTTTGATATTTGCCTTATTAATATAGTAGGATGTGTCATGAAGTTCCTTGGAAAATGTCCCTTGTTAGACGCTGCTGAGTCAGTTCGGAATCACACCAACTCTACATAAAACAGAATGACCCTCTACCTGGTTCTGTGCCATCCTCACATTCCGACCCCACTGTTGCAATCACTGTGTCAGTCCATTTCCTTGAGACTCTTGTGCTGACTCCTTACCAACCTAATATCCTTCTCCAGGGATTAGCCCCTCCTGATTTTATGCTCAAAGTATGTGAGATGAACTTTTACCATCCTAGCTTCTCGGAAGGCCCTTGATACGTGGTATAGACTAGAGAAAAATCTTTCACAGGACAGTGAAGACACTGAGGTGGAGAGAAGTGAAGGCTTTCCCTCAGGCTTCTGTGGCCATGGGTGGGAGAGAGAACACACAGTCCAGGGCCTAGGACCAAGGAAAGCTGCTCCAGCTACTGCCCTGCCTCTGTGCTTACACTGAGGAGAAAGCCCTTCATTGCTTCACGTGGTGTGCTACTTTCTTCTTCCTACGTTGGTGGTCTCATTTTTTTAAAAGCATGACATATGAATGATTTTAAAGTGCATGTAATTGATTTTAATTGCCCTCTTTTTAATTGCAATTATTTATTTGACTGCATCAATATATTTAATTGTCATATGTGGTTCTGTCGTGTGTGTAAGCCTGTAATTCTTCTCAATCCACCTCCCTCTCCCATGCCTTATGACAGATAAAAAAGAGGAGGGAAAACCTGACACATCGCAGTCTTCCCTTCACACCGGTGAAACTGGACCTGCCCCCCTGCCCCTGACAATGGTCAAGAGAAAGAAGAAAGAGACAGAGTTGTTGGAAGAGGAAGCCTGCGAGCTGCTTTCCTATTTCAACCATCAGAATGCAGATGCTCTGTTGAAAGTTACCAGAAATACACTAGAGGCCATTCGCAAACGCATCCATGCCTCCAACACTGTTTACTTCCGAGGTAATAGTCCCACACAGCTGTGTCTGAGCTGTTCTCACCTAGATGCAGGCGTATGTGGGCGTGGAGTGTGTAAATGTGTGTTGTTGTTGTGTGTCAATTATGACTCATAACGACCACATGAACAATGGCTCTGAAGCCTGCCCTGTCCTGGCTCTGAACCCTGGCCTATTCTGAGCCAACCCCACCACCTCTGACACACCTGACCCCATTGCCGCAGTCACTGGGTCAGTCCATCTCATCCAGGGTCCTCCTCTCCTGTGTTGATGCTCTACATTTCCAGGCATGATGATGTTCTCCAAGAACAGAACTCTCCTGACAACCTGCCCAAAGTATATGAGATAGAAATTCAGAATCCTTGCCTCCAAGGAGCAAACTGGTTTCACACTCTTAATGGTAGACCAGTTTATTCTCTTGGGAGTCCATGGCGTGCTCAGTACTCTACTCCAGAACCATAGCTCAAAGGCATTGATTCTCCTTCTGCCATCCTTAGTCATTCTCCAGCTGTCAGGTGTACATGTGAATGTGTGCACTTGAGGTGTTTTAGGGTGTCATAAAGTTGATTTAATTCACTGTGATCCCAAATGACAGAGTAGAACTGACTCAGCATTTCCAGGCTTGTAATTTGAGCTGAGATGTAGGAGAATGGTGCTGAACATCCCATGGACTGACAAAAGTACAAACAAATATGTTTTGGAGAAGGTGCAGCTAGAGTAATCTTTGGGGGCAAAGATGATAAAGCTTCGCCTCATATAGTTTGGTTATGTTTCTAGGAGGGACTGTTTTCTTGGAGAGGAACAGGTTCCTCAGAAAGGCAGAGGGTCAGGGAAGGAGAGGAAAACCCTTAGCAAGGTTGTTTGACACAGTGACCGCTTCAATGCACTCTGATGAGTCAGGAAGTGTGAGGATGGCACAGGACAGGGCAGGGTTCAGACCTGTTGTATGCAGGGTTCCTATGAGTCATACTCGACTTGATGGCACCAAATGACAACAGCAATCTTGACAGGAGCAGATTTCTAGGTCTTTTCTGTGAGGAGTTTCTGGGTAGATTTGAATGACCACATTTTTGGCTAACTGTCAAGTGTTAAAACTTTCTCACCAAAATGACGTCTTGTGTATCCCTGTTAATTTTAAGTACAGAACAATCTATTATTTATTGAGTGCTTCCTCTTAATCTTAAACATTATGAACCTTGATCATTCCAACAGTTCTGTGATGTAAGTTGAACTCATTACTCTAATTTCACCATTGAAGTCTACAGGCAAAGGAATTTATCATGGAGATGAAGTGACTTGTCTCAGGTGACTTGGCTTTTGTGAATGACATCAAAGTCAGCATTGCTTTTAATCTTTTTGTAATAATTAATTTTCATAATGAGTCAAGAAAAGGTAGCACTGGTGGCTTAGTGTGTATGGAATTGTGCTGTTACCTGTCCCATAGGCTCTCTGGTGGTTCATAACTGCCAGTGATAATGGGAGAAAGATGGGCAATCTCCTCCCATGTGATTTATCTCCTTGGAAACTCAGTGGGAGATCAGCTATGAGTAGGTCTTGACTCAACAGCAAATGATGAGTGAGTCAAGAAAAAACCCACAAATCTTTTAAAAAGATATATTGCAAAAGATTATTTCATAGTTAAATTATGATATTATTAGAAATATTTTATCAATGTCACACTCTGCAAAGTAGAAACCATTTTCCTATTCTTATGTCAATTTGTTATTTTCCAGGCAATTTCCTCATTCTCAATATAATAATTTCTTCAACATTTCCTAGATAGTTTAGTTTGCAGATTTATGAAATTAAATTTTAAATAAAAAAATAGAAGAAATAATGAAATAAATAATAGTAAAATGAAACCGAAAAAATGATGGGGTCATAAAATCTTGTTTACTTATTTTACATCTTGGTACGTAAGTGGAAGCACCTTTGATATTTATTTAATTAAACATGGATAGCTGTAAGTAGAACTTTTGAAAGAACATTGTGATTAGTGATGTTTTATTACTTTTTTTTCCAATTTATAATAGGAGATAGTGTGTTTATTTGGCATAGGGATATTAATACTGTTGTTGTTAGGTGCCATCAATTCAAACATTCACAGCAATACTATGAACAACAGGTCTGATAGAGAAGAACCCTGTCCTACCCTTTGCCATCTTCCCAATCTCTGACAAAGTCAAGCCGATTGCAGCAGTCACTGTTTGAATTCACCCTGTTGAAGGCCTTCCTCTTCATTGCCCTCCCCTCACCTTTGCAAGTATGATGTCCTTCTCCAAGGAAAAGCTTCTCCTTGCAACCTGTCCGTAGTGTGTGAGGTGAACTTTACCATCTTTGCCTCCAAGAAGCACTCTGCCTGTACCTTTATAAGCTATATCTATTTGTTCTTTTGGTATTCCCTGGGATATTCAGTACTCTACTCCAACATCACATTATTAGATTTTATTATTGTTGTTGTTATGTGCTCTCAAGTCATCTATGACTCGTAATGACCCTATGAACAATAGCTCTGAATTCTGCCCTATCAAAGCCATCTCAAAGTCTTGGTCACATCTGCCCCCATTAACAAAGTCATTGGGTCAGTCCATCTTAACCAGGGTCCACCTTTCCTGTGCTGACCCTCTATCCTTCTAAGCATGATGTCGTTCTCCAAAGACTGGTCCCCCCTACTATCATGTCCAAAATATGTGAATTAGCTCTTCAAAATCCTTTCCTCCAAGGAGCAACTTGGTTTCACCCTCTCCAGGACAGACCTTTTTGTTCTCTTGGCAGTCCATAGTATGTTCAGTACTCTTCTAGGGCACCATAACTCCAAGACATTGGCTCTTCTTCTGTCATCATTAGTTATTGTCCTGCTATCAGATGCATAGCAACTAATTGCAAAGACCATAGCTTGAGTCAGATGCACCCTACTGTCTAGACTCATTATTCTTCACCACTCTGGGAGGTCCCTCACAGCAGACTTTCCCAAAGCAATATGGTGGTTTGTTTTTTTTTAATTTCCCAACCAATATTGTCAAGAGTGTTGATTGTGGATCTGAGCAAGATGAAATTGTTAACAACTCAGTCTTTATTTATCATGCTGCCAATTGGCCTGGTGGTGAGAATCTTTGTTTTCTTGATGTTGAGCTGTAATTCATAGTGAATACTCCAGTCTTTGACCTTCAACAACCAAACAACTCAGGTCTTCCTCAGTGGTTGTTGTTGTTGTTTTTATGTGCCATCAAGTCATTTGTGACTCATAGTTACTCTATGAACAATAGCTTTGAACCCTCCTCTATTGTGTGCCAACCTTATTGTCTCTAACACACTTACCCTTATTACCTCAGTCACTGAATCAATCCATCTCATTGAGAGTTTCCTCTCTTGCACTGTCCCTCCACCCTCCTAAGCATGATGCCCCTCTCCAAGGACTGGTCACTATTTTCAAAATGCCCAAAGTGTGTCAGATGAAACCTCAGACTCATTCCTTCCAAGGAGCAGCCTACTTTCATTCTGTCTAGGACAAACCTGCTTGTTCTCCTAGCAATCCATGGTATATTCAATACTCTTCTCCAGCACCACCTCTCAAAGGCATCACTTCTCATTCTATCATCCTTAATCATTGTCCAGCTTTCCTATGCATAGGAAGTAATTGCTAAGATTATGGTCCAGATCAGGGGCACCTTTGTCTCTAGACTGACATCATTGCTCTTTAGTACTCTGGAGAGGTCCCTGACAGCATATTTTCCCAATGCAATTAATATTTTGATTTTCTGATTGCTGGTGCCAAGAGTGTTGATAGTGGAGCTGAGCAAGCTGAAATTGTTAACAATCTCATCTCTTATCCATCAGTAATGGTGCTGCCAATTGGCCCAGTCGTGAGAATCTTTGTCTTCTTGATATTGAGCTTCAATTCATATTGAAGACCTTCTTGATCTTCTGCAGCAAATTCTTCATGTCCTCCCCAGTTTCAGCAAGCAAAGATGTGTAATCTGCATAATGTAAGCTGTTGATGAGTCTTCCTCTAATCATGATTCTTCCTCATAGAGCCCAGCCTCCTAGATGATCTGTTCTGCGTATAGACTGAAAAGGTATAGAGATAAGACACATCCCTGGTGTATACCCTTTCCAATTTTGAATTATGCAATGTCTCCTTGTTCTTTTCTGATGATTGCCTCCTGGTCCAACTATAGGTTTTTCATAAGCACAATAAAGTGTTCTGGGATCCCCATTTTTGTGAGAGTTAGCCAAAGTTTATTGTGATCCACAAAGTCAAATGCCTTTGCATAGTCAATGAAATATAGGAATTATAAAAGGTTGACTGATACATGAAATATCAAATCACAGGTATTTAACAACTTTAAATATTACAGATATTTACACCTAATATATAAAAAGTAATTAGTGATATATTGCTATACCTCTAGGGAGCTCTGGTGGCCTAGTGATATATTACTATACCAAAATGCATAGCTATTTGGTGCAGCTGGGATCCAGAAGATAGGTCTTTTATATTTAATAAACAATCAGTTATGGACTGAGAGCCTCTTTTTAAACCAGTTAGGACTGGTAGATGGTTAAAAGTTGGTTTGGATCTGAGACCCTCTTGTTTGGAGCAGTTGGAATCCAGAAGGTAGGTCTTTTTTATTTGATTAAGTCAGTTGTAGGCTGTTAGGTTTTTTCATTTAATTAACTGGTTGGCATTGGAAAATTTCAGGAAGTACCATGTAAGTAGGAACCAATGGTAATGAAGGAGTAAGTGGAGTCTGTACTAAAAGTATTGGCAAAAAATAAGCCCCAGGAATCAATGGGATACCAATTGACTTGTTTCAGTGAACAGATGCACTTCTGGATGTACTTACCACTCTATGCCAGGAAATTTGGAGGATAGTAGTCAAGCCAATGGATTGAAAGAGGTTCATGATTTTTCCCATTCCCAAGAAAGTTTATCCAACTGAATGTGCAAACTGATGGACAATATCATCAGTATCACATACAAGCAAAATACTACTAAAGATCATTCAAAAATAGCTACAACAGGACATAGATAGGGAACTGCCAAAAGTTCAGGAAGGATTTAGAAGAGGCCATGACATAGCACTAGCTACATCATTGCAGATGTCAGGTGGATCCTGCCTGAAGAAAAAAAAAA